CAGACTCTTCAGGCCAACCATTCTTACAGTACTCATATATTTTTATTAAGCACTCATCTTTTTGTGTTTCTCTTTTAATATCATTCACATTTATATTGGAGTTATCCATGATAGTGAAGAGAACAAATACATCTTCTGGTACATAGCTCAGGCTTTGGTTTTTTAAAGGTAATCTACTAAGACTATCTGCACTATTCTCAGATCCAGGTTTGTATTTCAATTCATAATTGTATGCAGTTAGTGTGATAGCCCATCTTTGAATTCTTGGTGAGGCATGCTCAGGTAGGGTTTTGTTTTCTCCAAATAAACCTAGCAATGGTTTATGGTCTGTAAAGATGGTGAACTTCCTACCAAACAGAAACTTATGAAATTTCTTAACACCAAAAATGATGCCTAAGCCTTCCCTATCTAACTGAGAATAATTTTTCTCAGCCTGATTCAAAGATCTACTGGCAAAAGCAATGGGTCTGTCACCCTTCTCATCCATGTGGGACAAGACTGCTCCTACACCATCTGGTGAAGCATCACATGTCAATACAAGTCTTTTCCCTGGGTCATAGTGAGTTAGTAAGGTGTCAGCAGACAAAGCCTCTTTTGCTGTATTAAAAGCAGCTTCTTGTTGTTTACCCCAGTGCCAAGTTGCATTTTTCTGTAGCAGCTTGTACAGTGGTGATAGTTTACCAGACAGATTCCCTATGAACTTTGCATAGTAATTTATCAAGCCCAAAAAAGCTCTTAGTTGTTGGGTATTTTCAGGTTTGGGTGCTTCTTTAATGGCTTTTGTTTTCTCAGGTTGAGGTCTGATGCCTTGTTTGCTCAATATATAACCAAGAAAACTAATTTCTGTCAGCATGAATTGACATTTATCTTTGTTTATCTTTAAACCTTTTTCACCAACAATTTTCAAGACTTTATCAAGTGTTTTAAGATGTTCAGTGTCATTCTTACCAGTTATGTACACATTGTCAAAGTACACACAAACATTTGGAATGTCCTTAAAAATACTGTCCATGACAGCTTGGAAAATTCCAGGGCTGGATGATATGCCAAAACATAGTCTTTCATATTGGTAGAGTCCTTTATGTGTGTTTATTGTCGTATAGACTTTTGAATCTGGATGCAGTTCTAGTTGAGTGTAAGCATGACTAAAGTCTAATTCAGTGAATTTGTCTCCTCCTGCCAAATTCAAAGAAATTTCCTCAATGTTAGGTATAGGGTACCTATTTAGCTCTATTTGCTTATTCAGTGTAGTTTTATAATCTCCACAAATTCTTATAGAACCATCCTTCTTTAACACTGGCACAATGGGTGTCGCCCAATCGGAATAGTCTACCTTCTTTATAATGCCATTAGATTCCAATCTACTTAGCTCATTTTCAATTTTATTCCTCATTGCATAAGGTGGAACTCTAGCTTTGCAGTATCTTGGATTTGTGTCTTTTTAATGCTTAACTTCACTGTTCTATCATTTAGTAATCCTGAATTACCAAAAACACATTTATTTTCAGATATAACTTTATCTAGTGAAGTAAGACTAGATTCTTTTACATTCTTCAATGAACAAATACTCTCCCAATTTAACTTAAGATCACTTAACCAGTTCCTACCTAGTAATGGCGGTCCATTTCCTTCAACCACAAGAAGAGGAAGTTTAACACTTTGACCATTATAATTTACATGAACCATACACTCTCCTATTACCGGAACATTGTCACCAGTGTATGTTGTTAGACACTTGTGACACGGCTGTAGAGACACTGATCCTTCTGTGACAGCGTCAAAATCTTTCTTTGTGATGACTGTTAGTGATGCTCCAGTGTCAAGTTGGAAGCTGATGCTCTTACCGTTGATATAAACTGGTACATTGATGGGAGCATGACTTATTGATTTCACAGAGAATAGGTTGAAATCCGGCTGCGAATCAGTTTGAGCATTTTCACTGGTAGAGTGGTTCATTGGTTGGGTTAGGTAGTCTTGGTGAGAGTTAACATAGTGCTGCTTTTGGTTGCGGTACTGTCTTGACTGGCTAGATTTAGCAACAGACGAAGACTTTGCGAAGCAGGCCTTAGCAATGTGACCTTGCTTACCGCACTTATAACAAGTTGCAGACTTGAACTTGCACCGATGAGATGCATGGGGACCTTTGCATCGATGACATTTTTGATAATTATTACTAGATTTAGATCTAGGATTTGAACGAGCAGGCTGTTTAGCATAAGTTGGAATGCTCTGATGAGGTTGATGTTTATTGACTAACCTGCTGTTTACTGCATGGATCCCTGAAGGCGTTAGAGATTTCGCCGCATCTGATGACTGCTGGATTGAAGTTGCAAGTTGTATTGCTTTTTCTAATGTTAGATCTGACTCGAGCAGCAACTTTCTTTGAATATCAGGGCTGTTTACACCTGTCACAAACTTTTCACATAGTCTGTCAGACAGCGTATCGCCGAATTCACAAAATTCACTTAAATGACGTAAAGCAGCAACATATTCTGTTATTGACTCGTTTGGTTGACGAGTCCTACTGTCAAATCTAGCTCTACATAGAAACTTTGATGGGGTAGGCGCATGGTGGTCTGTTAGCAATTTGCTCAGCTCGTTAAAGCTCTTGGTATCTGGACTAGCTGGTGCGCATAAGTCCTTTAGTAGCCTGAATTGTTGAGGCCCTATGACTGTTAACAAAACAGCTCTCTTTTTGGCTTCTATCGTCACGTCGTTAGCTTCTAGGTAAAAGCTTAACCTCTCTAGGTAATCTTGAATGATTTCATCATTCGCATCAAATTCTTTTATTTGGCCATACAGCGCCATAATTCTAGAAATAATTAGCTAATAAGCTCTAGCAAACCTCTTTTTTGCGTAAGTAGGTGCTCTTTCTAGTAGATGTTTATCCTTCGTCGCCAGTTATAATAGATTGACGACAGAAGCCTGTGGTTGTATATAACACGTTTAATTGGGTCTAACTACCTCATGATGGTAACACACAGAGAGGAGGAAGGAAGTAGACAAGGGACATCACTCAAGATAACAATATTATAAATATAACTAATACATAAGAGTGAGTTCCCTTGACCTCACAATTATTTCAATCTATTACATAGACATATTTTACTAATAATATTTTTTATATAGACCTTCTATATTTAACTCTGTTATTTTTTTCTTCCCCAGAGTGTTTTTAAAAGCCAGAATTTTGAACATTTTTTAAAGGGGATAGCGGTCGTTTTTTTTTCAAGAATAATTATAGAAATAAGCTATAAACTGGTATATTTTGTAAAGTTTGACATAATTACAAATAAATTTATGCCTAAGTGACATTTCTGTGTAATTATATTGTTAATTTTGTGAATTTCGTGGATTTTAGACCTTACTACATTTAGATGAAAAAAAAAATGTCATTTGAGTGAGTGTGGTTAATCTAAATTTTGAACGTGATGTAAATGTCTAGTGCTATTAATTTTTATATTTTTGAATTCCTCGATTGTTAAGCAACAAAATTGATATATAATATGTCAATATTTGTTACTTTGAAAATTGGCGAAAATCGACCCTAAAAGTAGATGTTTGAGAGTTGAATCTGTTTCCTGCCTTTATTATAATATTCTAGACGACTAGATTCTAGATCTAGAATCTGCTGTAGACTGTCACACGACTAGATCTACTGTGTAGTGTGTAGAGTAGTTTAGGTACTAGATCTAGATCTAGATCTACTAGGTAGGTAGACTGTACTGATGCGAACTGTACGACTGTTAGATCTAAATCTAGTCTAGTTGTTACTCAAAAATTGTTACGATCCTAAATATTAAATAAGGGCTAGTCTTAGTCTAGATCTAGAGTAAAGGAACAAAAAATTATGTCTAGATCTATATTCTAGATCTGGATCTTTGAAAGTTTGTCACACACAATTCATTAAAAATTAAAATACTCAATTTTTTTGAAAACCTAATATTAATATTGCCTGTTGTCGTCTGCTGAGATCTGAGGTCTGAAGCAAGCAAACGTGTTCGATACTGTAAATATCGTGTTATTAAATTGTCGATCAAAATAGCCAAATTGTTGTTTCTCGTATTTTGTATTGTAGATATAATTTTTTTTTTGTTTTTTGTAAAATGTAGATCTGGTAAACGTAGTCTTTATTTTATGATAACGTAAGAATTTTTTTATTTTTTTGTAAAAGTTCTTGAAATAACTATCTCAATGCAGTTAGGCCTAGACTGAGATTTTATGACATCAATACTAGCCAGATACACGTCAGTATTTTAAGATTAAATCAAGAATCTTGATCTAGATCTAGTCTAAAACGTGTTGTTATAATTAAATCTTAAAATAATAGATCTCTAGATCTATGTCAAAAATAATTTTAAATAGGGTCTAAGTCTTTAAATTACGTCTCAAATAGATTTTTAAAAATCTACGACGGATGACAATACAATAATTTAGATTTTAGATCTACTATTAACAACTGTCGTATCTTCCAATAATTTTTCTCCACGAATATGTAATGAAATTAATTATTGCAATAATAAATTGTTTTGCACTCGAGTTAAACTGACTTAGTGTTTTTATCATCTCATATGGCGACTGGTTAATGCGATCGTTCACACAATAAGTCCCACTCATAGTGGGAGGAGGGTCGGGCTTTTGTGCCGATGTAGGAGATAACGGCTCAAAAAACTAGACGCAACACTTTTGCAATAAAAAAAATTAAATATTTGAAGTTAAATTTTAAAGATTGTAACAACATTAGATCAATAGTTCTTCTTTTCTAACGGGAATGTCAACACGACAGATGACAAAGAGTTTCAAAAATAACAATTCTATGGGGGCGAGATGGGGGTGGTGTGGATGACATGGACTCACACAAAAAATAAAATTCATCAAAGTAAGTCAAATTTAATCTAGTTCCATAATGTTATTCAGATTTTATCGTATAAGTTAAACGTTTTCTTAAAGTGGTAATGCTGAACAAAAAAAAAACAACCAACAACAACAGATTAACTTACTCTTACAACACCGTTGACCAGGTCTCTCTTGAACTGGTTTGAAGTCTGCTTTGGGGATGATTGTGCGTTCGGGAAATCCTGACGATATTTTTACATATTTTACTTTTTTTAGACTTTGGGGATTTTCCTCCATAATTTATTTTTAATCATTGAATGGAAATTCCGGAATTACTTTTTCAATGGTTTAGCATAAGTTTTAGTTTTTCGGATTTTCTTTTTTTTTACATGGATGTATTTTAAGTTGTTTTAGTTCTATCTGGCCTGGTAACAACCACACATGTCCTGTGGTAACAACCACACACGTCCTGTGGTAACAACCACACACGTCCTGTGGTAACAACCACACATGTCCTGTGGTAACAACCACACATGTCCTGTGGTAACAACCACACATGTCCTGTGGTAACAACCACACATGTCCTGTGGTAACAGCCACACATGTCCTGTGGTAACAGCCACACATGTCCTGTGGTAACAACCACACATGTCCTGTGGTAAAAACCACAATGTCCTGTGGTAACAACCACAAATGTCCTGTGGTAACAACCACACACGTCCTGTGGTAACAACCACACACGCCCTGTGGTAACAACCACAAATGTCCTGTGGTAACAACCACACACATCCTGTGGTAACAACCACACACGTCCTGCGGTAACAACCACACACATCCTGTGGTAACAACCACAAGTGTCACAGCCAGACCAGAGTGGAACACACAGATACTTCAAATAAAGAAAAAATTATTTCAAACATTTAAACACAGGAAACATTTTCCATTATGTTTATTATAATAGTATACAACCAAAACCAAGACAAATCACATGAATTATGATAAGTAAAATACAACCATGATTTATTGAGCATAATGCTAGAAATTAGAAAACAAAATTTATACAAATTAAAGATCAACATTACATCAGTTATAATAAAGTTGATGGTAAACTGACACAATCAGGCATAGCACCTGTAGGACAAACATAATGTGTAGGACATACACTATATGATAGCGAAGACAGGCAGAGTTTCTTCCAGGCCTCTCTTCGGGGGGGGGGGGGCTTTCCCCCGAAATTTTTTTACCGCCCCCCCCCCGAACAAAATGAAATCAGGGATGTGACCAGACCAGGAAAAAAAATTAGGAAATTTTCTTCGGATAATAACTCAATATGTTTTATCTACTTTTTAACGCAGTTAAGCAGCTTCAAACCGCAGCTTCATACTGTTACTGTACTAATTAATTGTTTAATGAAGTTAATATTTTAAATACAAGAAGTTTATGTTACTCTAAAATAACATTGAAAGTCTTGTCTAATTGCAATTTAATGTTTACTTTATAAACAACTTTAAAAAAAATTACAATGTAACAAAACTAGCAAATTAAGTTTTATTTTACCATTAAGCTAATTTAAATTGCACTAATCTAGTGTAGATGTACTCCTGTTTTCAATTTTAAATAGGGGGCCTAATGCCTTATATTCTTTTAAAGATTGGATTGGTAAAAATATTTGTCTTCAACTGTAAAGAGCCTAGATTAAGATTAGTTATAATATGAACATTTTAGATTCATGTGATGGAAAAATGAAATGGATCAGGTTAGCTAAAATTAGAAAGGGTCTGATGTGTGAACCAAAGTTAATCATTTTGATAGCCAAGCCACATCGATATTTGTTTTTTTTTTGGAATAGCTGTAAACTGTTAGGGGTCATCCACGTTTTTTTAACGATATTTACCTCCCCTCTCTCCTACAAAAGCCAGACCCCATATAATGACGTCACACCTCAGCCAACAAATGCCCCCCCCACCCCTCGAATTGAATTTTTTCCTAAAATATTGACTGAGGTCGACCAACATAGGGTATTTTATTCAATTTCTATTACAATGTTTTACAACAGTTTTCTAAAACGCGTAATAGCGGCTAAAATGCAGTTGCTTCTAACATTAATTTTTTAAAATACAAAAATATGACGTTACACTATCTTACGAGTGTGACGTTATTTATGGAAGACCCCTTATTAAAAAAAAAAAAAAAAACAGTCTGTACGTATTTTTTCTTCCACAATCAAGACACGGTCATAGTCACGTTGAGTTTAGTATTTTTTTTAAATCTGTAGGCCAACGAAGCATACGTATTGACTGTGACGTCATTTTTTCCCCCCACAAGCAGTACTGAACACGTACTTGGGGTCAAGGTGAGGTCACAAGAGCCACCGTTGCTACGAGGTGGGGCGGGTTAGTCTTGTCCTCATAGTCACCTTTTGCAAGGATTTCAATATTAATTTGAGATTGCGAAATAAAATAGAATCAGAGAGAAACTGTAGATTTAGGTGGGTTAAAATACCGATAGATAAATTAGGCTATATCGATAGCTAGATTACCAGGCTTAAGAGATGTAAGTTGCATTTAAATAACTGAATTGTTTTAGGTTACCTTTTCCCGTGTTTTTAATAAATAGTGTTAACTGAAAATATCAGCGGAAAATTAGGGCTAAAACAAATTGTGCTTTGAAAAAGTCCGCCGAAATTCCGAATCTTAATCTACATTTAATCTTGATCTAGCACCGTCAGACCTAAGCGCAATCGACCAATCGAAAATAAATGCGCATATTCGAGTGTCCGTTTGACCTAAGAACAGTAGTTGTCGATTTAAATACGAATAAGTGGAACGAGCATGTCGGCCCTTTCCGTAGAAGACATTTCCGTTTTTTTTCCTAATTTTTAAAACTTCGTAAAAAATCGACAAAAATTGAAAGTCGGCGGAAAAATTCGGCAAAAATTAAATCAGCGGAGGAAAATCGCATCTGAAACGGAAAAATCGGATTTCCGCTAAAATTCGGAAAAGTCACATCCCTGTGAAATTTATATAATTTATATAGAAAATATATACTTTTAACAGAGTCCGCCCCCCCCCCCCCCCCCCCCACCCGAAGAAAGTCTACCCTCCCCCCCCCCCCCCCCCCCCGGAGAAAAAAGTCTGGAAGAAACACTGGACACAGGAAGCACAATAAATAAAGTCTGTAGCACAATAAATAAGTGCTGAAGCACACCTTTATTTATTAACATGAAGATAAAAACTTAGGCTATAAGCTACATATCACAAAAACTATTCACATTCTCTTATGGCTGGTTGATTGAGTGTTGACTAGTACAAGTTTTATACTGCTGGGCTTAAATATCACTACACAATGAGTTACATAGGTCAAACTGACTGTGGTCTTCAGTGGTCAGACATCTTGTGCCAGATAAACTGTCAGACATCTTGTGCCAGATATTGTCAGACAAATGAATCTAGGACTCTCAATTTCCTATACCTGTACAACACAAGAGAATCATCTTCTATTAACCAAAATAAAAGAATGCAAAATTAATCAATTGAACTTTGTTGTTCTTAGATCACTCTATGTAACATTTGCTAGCAGCAGTAAAAAAAATCTTACATAAACATGTGTTTGATGGCTGCTCAATAAAGACAGAAAAACAAAATTTAATAAAACAAGTCATGAAAGGCTACTTCTATAATTATCCTTGTCATTTATACACCATTTGATGTCAGTTGTATGGCGTCATTCATACACCATTTGATGTCAGTTGTATGGAGTCATTCATACACCATTTGATGTCAGTTGTATGTAGTCATTCACACCACAGATAAAACCAGACTATTACAGTTAGAGAAAGCTTCAACTCAAATAATCCATTCAAGATTCACACATTTATAAAATAGTTTCAAAGTTTCTGTGCTCCATTTCTTGCTCGGTGGCTGTACTACAATGTCTGTTCAAACTGAAAGAACTTGGTTTTTTAAAAAGTATATTTCAACGTTCAAACAACATATGAATGAATCAGTTGTTTTAAAGTATATTTCAACATTCAAACAACATGAATGAATCAGTTGCTTTAAAGTATATTTCAACATTCAAACAACATGAATGAATCAGTTGTTTTAAAGTATATTTCAAGATTCAAACATCATATGAATGAATCAGTTGTTTTAAAGTATATTTCAAGATTCAAACATCATATGAATGAATCAGTTGTTTTAAAATACATTTCAAGATTCAAACATCATATGAATGAATCAGTTGTTTTAAAATACATTTCAAGATTCAAACATTATAGAAATGAATCAGTTATTTTTAATATTTCCACGCTGATACTGTTGACGTTCCAACCATTGCAATTGAGTGCATGATCAAATGTTAAAATTGAGAGAGGCAAACATGATATTAGTAACAAACATTTAAAAAAAAATGAATTTACTTTTGATAAGTGATCTTGGTACCAAATTTAAGATCTTAAATATAACGTTATATTTCTATATAATTATTCAAGTTTTGCTGTGAACACTTACATTTGTTTAACCAAAACTGTAGATTCTATTTATAGTAACTTACTCTTGTGAATATGAAATAAATTTAAAAAAAAATAGTAAACATCAATATAAAACATGAATTTTAAAATGTTTTACAGCTGAACTAGCCATACTTTGATATACAATACTTGAATGGTCAAATTTCAGACCCAGACAAACATCAGACTTTCTGGATCAGACATACATCAGATGACTTTAACATACACAGACATACATCAGACTTTATGGATCAGACATACATCAGATGACTTTAACATACACAGACATACATCAGACTTTATAACATGAAGGAATAAATACACAGAAATTAGACATAATATTTGAATTAATTACACCACCTAAATGTTGAGAGTGATACGACATAATGTTGAGAGTGACTTGATGTTACAAGTTCTGCATCTGCTTCATCAGGTCTTGTATACTCAGCTCTGTGGCAGGAACAAACTCAGTCACGTCCACCTCCTGTATCAGGTGTCAAGGGGGGAAAACATGGTTAGACAAGCTCTTTGGTGGGGAGAAAACATGGTTAGACAAGCTCTTTGGTGTAGAGAAAACATGGTTAGACAAGCTCTTTGGTGTAGAGAAAACATGGTTAGACAAGCTCTTTGGTGGGGAGAAAAAATTTGTTAGACAAGCTCTTTGGTGTAGAGAAAACATGGTTACACAAGCTCTTTGGTGGGGAGAAAACATG